TGGATTTTTATGGCTAAAATGGCCATTGTCTTATTTACATGAGAAATAAAAGAATATGGTAAATGCACTTACCCAGGTAAGTCTTTCCTCGAAAGCACTTACCCAGGTAAGTCTTTCCTCGAAAGCACTTACCCGGGTAAGTAACTTACCGAAAAGCGAACGGGGCCTAAATCTTTATTTACATTTTGTTTCATATCTATAATCTTTTCTATCTGAATTATTTAAATTACATAACCTACACATACAAATTAAAATTATTTGTAATATTTTTATGGATTAATTTGTTTCCTCGTAAAAGAAAATTGTTTCATATCATTATTTTTTTATATTTACTTTCATACTTCTAATCTCTTCTCTCCCTTCTCCAAAAAAACAAGCACATGGGCCCTTCGAAATCCCAACTTCTAACATCAAAATCACGTGAAACATGGAAAGCCAGTTTTCTCTTCCAAATACCAATGAGGAAAGAGTAGCAAGTAACAACATTGAAACGCATGAATCCAGCTGGCCCCTATTCATAACGAGGAGATCGGATCTGCTCCTCATATAGGGCACCTCACATGCACATCCTACCATGCATTGGGAACATCTTTCATACTTTTAAGTTGTTATTTACGGGAGATGTTCCCAATGCAAAGTGGATGTGCATGTGAGGCGCCCAAGTGTGAGGAGCAGATCCCGTTCCCCTAACGAGATTGGCTTCAGTGCTCACACTGTTCACATAGTCTTTTACAGCTGTGAATTGGGAATATCTCTGTACTTGTATGTTTTTTTCATGGGGAGGCATTTCCGTTGCAAGGGACTGTGCAAACGGTGTGAGGTACCCTCTCTCTCTCTCTTTCTACCAAATAAAATAAAATGGAAAAAAAAATTCCTCCCAAGAGGGGAAAGAGCAATAAAAGAGATCTATATAGCAAGAGAGTGGTAGTGAACACTTCAGCCATGGAAGATCTATTGAACAGTTTTGATAATTGACCACAGAAAATAGCAGTTTATAGAAGAAAAATCTCCTATTTCAATCTCAAGAAGAAGAAGAAGCACACCCACCTGTTATTTGGTTGTAACTAAGGGTGTCAATGGACCGGTTTTGGATTAGGCCTCATTCAGTCCAAAATCAATTTGGACGGATTGGACAGACCAACAAGACATATTGGATTGGACCAATCTGGTCCAAAATATTTATTAGATTGGATTAGACCTGGTCCATTCGCAACAAATTTATATTGGATTAAGTTGGATTAAGCCAATATTTAGTCCATTGATATAAGATAAGAAGAATATATGTTTCAATGAACCAGGTTTGGGTTGAAACCAATCTAAATCAAAATGAATTTGAACAGACTGAATGGTTCAGACTGAATTGGACCAGTCTAAATTGATCCAAAACATTCATTGGATTGGATTGAACCTGGCCCATTTATAATAGACTCACATTGGACTGAATCGGATTGGACCAAATCCAGTCCAATTGACACCCATAGTTGTAACCAGTCACCGACAGCAATTACCTCCTTCAGTTAGGATTTGTATATAGCAGGCAGCACTGCACCAATAGTTCCGATTCCGAATTGAGAAGAGAGAGAAAACTATTCTGTCATTTCTGCTCCTTAAGAAAACTATTTCCTTGAAAAGTGCAATACATTGAGGCTCTCTTCTTACGCAACTCCATACCTCTAACACCTTCACGCAAGGCTACCAAGAATAGGCGATTTTTGAGTGCCTTGCCTCTAATGCCTTTTAAACCATGATTATAATATATTTCTTCGTATAACTAACTTGTAAAAATATACATGTGTTTATATCTTATTCATAGCTCAATCTATATTTACTATTTTGATGTATTTGTAGAATTTGTAAAAATTTGTCCAACATATCCACACATATCTATGTCCACCATGTACATGCTTGTCCAAAGCATATTATGATACAAATCCATATCCAAACGCAATTTCCATTTCCGCCTGCTTAAGGGTCTTTGTGATCAATTAGGCTGCATTTGGAAACGATGCAAATAAGTGTGAATGCAAATATGTAGAGTGTAAAATGGTTCATATAAATTGTAAAATTGGGTTAGTTTTGCACCGACAAATTCACCTTCTTATCAAACAGACTTTTATCTGTAATGGATGCAAACATGAATTTCAATAAAGCATATGCTTTTTTTTTTATCAAAAGCCCACTGTAATGCAAATTTACTTCTTTTTATTGATGTACTTTTATATCTTATTATCAATGTAAATATGCATTGATTTGTCATTTGTCAATGCATAAATGTAATGTTGCCAAACACAAGCAAAAATGAACCAGAGTGCAAATTTACCTCAAAACCGAGATTTACACTCCATTTGTATCGTTTCCAAATGCAACCTTACATAGAATTCAGAAAAGATTCCTTTAAAGAGATGATTAAAATAAGAAAATTCATTGGATTGGATGGAAAAATCTCTGTAAGATTAAATTAAATGGTGGACTAGGATTTAGAGATACCCAAGCTTTCGACAAAATTTGCCTGGAAGATTCTAAACAAATAGCTTTTGGTCTATCCAAACGCCAAAGAAATGCTCACAAGGCTTCTAAAGCCTTTTAGCTATGAGGGATGTTTTCCAATGTGATGCAAGGTGATAAACGGGTGAAAAAAAAAATAACATATGGGATGACTCATGGCTCAAACAGTTACCCAATTTGAAACCCTGTGGCCCAAGGCTTAATCCAAATGAATTAAAGTGGATTAATGAACTGATTGACCAAAGCAATGGTGGAAGCAAATTCTCAGTAAAGTCAACCTGTGTCAATTCTTAAATTATCTACACCAACTAAAGAGGGTAATATTAATAATGGTATGTCAAAAAATCAATGGAAAATAATTTAGATTCATAACATCCCACCAAAAATAAGAATTTTATTTTTATTTTTTATTTTTATGGAGGTGTTGCTTAAACAACATTGCAATTGGCAAAGAAATTGTTTAAATTAGGTGTGGTGAATACCAAAAAATAAAAACTCTCATTTGCAAGAAAAACCCTAAGAGCATCATTCATGCTTTAGTATCATGCAAAAACATCTTGGTGTAGGTGCAAATTGGGTTTAACTATTGATTCTATGCCTACAAAAAATGGTTTCAGCATTTTTGTGCTGACAGAATGATTTAGTGAGAAAGCTTCTCCTCAAGAATGCAAAAAATCTGTCCAAACTAATAAGGGAAAATTTCATTTTAGTACCCTGAACTTTGGGGATAGTGCTAAGTTAGTACCCAAACTTTTAAGTGTGTCACTGCAGTATCTAAACTTTCAAAAAGTGTCAAGTTGGTCCCTATCATTAACTGACTGTCAGTTATCTATTGAAAATGTCAAAACTACCTTTCAAAAAAAGATACTGTTCATTATCTTCTACATTGAGACTAAACCAGTTATCTTCAAAGAAGAAGAGAGAAAAAACATGGAATATGATAAAGGGAAACAGTAACTGAAAAAAAAAAAGAAATAACTAGATAAGAATGTATTTCAGATCTTAAGGTAGAAGACAATGACTTCATTAGTCTAAAATCTCAAGCACTTCAACCACTTCAGTCTCAAGGTAGAAGACAATGAACAGTGTCTTCTTTTGAATGGTAGCTTTGACATTTTCAACAAATAACTGACGGTCAATTAACGGCTGGGACCAACTTGACACTTTTTGAAAGTTTAGGTACTGCAGTGACACATCTGAAAGTTCAGGTACTAACTTGACACTACCCCAAATACTAAAGTGGAATTTTTCCAACTAATAATTCATGGTATGGATTTTATTTTTGGCATCCTCCAAAGCCAGGAAACTGTCGAAGCAAATGTGGATGGTAGTTTTTCTAAACTGGGTTTGGGAGACTTTGGAATAGTGCTTAGAGATTCCAATGGATGTTTTTTGCTGGCCAAGAATGGTCCTTGTCATGCTTTATCTGCAGAATATTCTGAATTATTTGTTGTTACAGAAATTTGCTACCTTGTTGTGGATGTTGGATTAGAAAGTGATTCCCAAACTGCTTTTAAAGCTCTTTCAAACAAATCTTATGATGCTTCTACTACTGTTTGGTTTTTGCTGAATGACATCTTCAAGATGTCTGATTTAAATGCTAAGTTCAGTTTCATATTCAGAGATTGCAATAAGATTGCTCATGAGCTTGCAGCTACAGGGGTTGGAGCCTGGGGACTCGGTTTGATTGCAGCCTCCACCTTGGTTTAGTTTCTATCTTTGGATTGTTCTGGTTTTGGGGACAGCAGATGCGTTCATCCCCCGTAACTGTGCTTGCTCAATTGCTAGAGTCGTTTGTGTGATATCTTGTAGTGCACCTCTTTCAATTGTACACTGGAAACATCTCCCTGGAGTGAGGAACAAATCCGATTTCTGCTTGGGATAGCTTGAAACCGGATCTGCTCCTCACAGAGCACACCTCGGACCAACCTCACAACATGTCCTGGCCGTACATTGACATCGAGAACATCTCCCATACTTTTATTTATAATTCATCGAGAGATGTTCCCAATTCAGGGTGAGATGTTGCTGTGAGGTTGGTGTTGAGGCACGCTCTGTGAGGATCAGATCCCAATTCGGATAGCTTTACTACCCCAATTCAATTACTTCGATTTTGAGAGTTTCAATCATGATTTTTAAAAACGACCCAGAGACCAAACCAGTCAGGGGTCCGGTTACGGACCATTCAACCCAAACGGTCAGCCCATTCTGAGAAAATAAAAAAAAAAATTAAAAACCAAAAAACGGTCAAAACCGTTCTAACAGTTTGAACGGTTAACTGCTTGGGTCAACAGTTTGCTGACCAAAATCAACGGTTTTGGACAAATTTCCGGTTTTGAGAAAAACCAAACCGGTTCCTGATTTTTCCAGTCCAACCATCCGGTCCGGTCCGGTTTTAAAAACCATGGTTTCAATTCCTTACGATATGCATCTACGAATTTGTGTTTGCATATGCTCCAATTTTTGTCACTCAACTTTGCCTAGGGACTATGATACAGGAAAAAGAAACAAATGATTTTATTTCCATACTTTTCTCTTCAAAAATTACATAAAATAAAAAATAAAAAAAAAACAACGGAAGAAAATTACTTGTACACAAGGAACAATCAAATTAATCCCACCCAACCTACGAAAAGAAATAAAAAAGGACAAAAGAATTCAAAAATTAAAAAACAAAAATCCTGTATCGTATGCATGTTTGGTGATACTCACATACCAGACTAAAATTCACAATTATGGACGGTGATACACATATTTGGTTCTAGGGTCCACAATAAGACCTTTCCCTCCATTCACTTCGAGGTCATGCCTGCAAAAACATACATCATCCTCCACTACTTAGATCTGTTCCATTTTAACTCTCTTGGATTGCATCCAACGCCTACACAACTAAATTAAAAAAAAAAGTACAAAAAGAAAAACCAAATGGGAGAGAGATTAGAAAACTCAACTGGAACACAAAATCAGGAATAGTCAACTGCTCGCGTGGAACATATCTGAACAGCTGCAGTAGCCGATCGACATATACGACTTTCTTCCATGACTAGATAGAACCCATACATATCAGTGGCTAAATCCATAACCATAAGATCTAGAAAACATAAATTAAAGTTCAAAGAAAAAACCAAAGGAAATGAAGAAAAAAAAAGAAAACGAAAAAAGGAAAGAGTTGGCTTCCGGCTATCTTCACTTGCCAATGATTTCTCTGAGGAATCTCACTTTCATTGGCACATGTTCTGCCAGCACTCAGAAACCATTGAATTGAAATCTTTAATTTAGGTTTTCTGAAAGCAACATAATATCCATACCATATTCTTGAAAAGGTTCTTAATGGAAAGCTGAAAGAAATACATATGAAGTCATTTTAGGGCTTCAAGACAATGAAGACATTAACTCGTTAGTTAATTAGATTAATTCAGATTAGCTGAATGTGATCGCTGTTCAGCGGGCTGTGGAACCAATGATAACACACAACACCCGCAATAATTCATGGGCCCCATGTATTTTATTACTGGTGTTTTTTTTTTTTTGTTAATAGGTCTGAACAGCTATATTGCATTCAGCTAATCCTTTCTCCAATTAGATGATGAACATGCATTTAAATGCTACAGAATTTCACCAAAATGATTGAAGGGAATCTTTTTGACATACCTCACCATCTACGAGCAATTGTAGAGCAAGTATTGCTGTCTTCAGCCCAAAGGTAGGATGAAGAACGTATATTGCCTAAACATGATAGAGAAATTAGATTAAGAGAACCATGTGACCCTACTCAAATGGGAATACAAGTCTTCTTACATGAAGGTTACGCTGGTGTTTCCGACCAAGTATTTGTTGCAATCTCTTCATCCATCCTAAGTTTGGTTGACTGAAAATAAGAAATAAGGAAAGAGAAGGATACAAAGAAGTTTTAATGAAATCTTCATGATAAAGGTTCCAGAAGACCAGAACCTAACTAGATTTGCAAAAGAAAATGATATCTACTTTTTCTTTTCTTTTTTTTCTTTGGTGATAAAGAACGAGTGTTGGATCAAGAAACCAACAATATACTTGAAGGGGAAGGGCAGAGATCTTCCTCTGACTCACTTTTCTTTTTATCTCTCAGGATAAAACGGCCTTCTCCTTTCCTTTTTCCATATAATGTGCATGTGTTCCAAGTAATCAAAGGCTTTTCGAGATTTTTACTTACTTTAGAAAAATTTAACACAATAAAAAAAGAAAAAAAAAAAGTTTCAGTAACATTTCAAGATTTAACCGCTACAGAATTTTTAAGGGAAAAAATAGCAAAGATCAATTTTGGCAAGTGCCCCAGTTGTGCGGAGACCATTCCTCATTGGAAGGGAGCAAAAATAAGAAAATTTTCTTTGTCAAAAGAATAGGCTCCAAATGTTTATTTGTCATTTCAAGAGCTTAAAATTTGTGAGCAAAGCAAAGAACCGTCTGAAAATAGCATACTCAATCAACACTGTTTCTTGCTGCATTAGGTGCTACTCAACTTTTCTTCCTATAAACATTTTTTTGGAAAATTACAGACTGCCACCGTGTACTTGGGGGTAGTGACATTTAGCCCCCCAAACATTCATTTGTGACGAAGGCCCACCCTGAACTTTCAGATTACAGAACTTTTCCCCCACCACATTAATAGACTTGATGGTAAAGATAAAATTATGAAAATGCCCATTCAAAATTCTGTATTATTTTGTGTTTTTCTGTCTTCCTGTACTTTCCTCTTTTTCTTTGTCTGTATTTTTTATTTGCTTTTTCAATTTCTGTTTGTTGTATTTTTTTCTCTTTTTACAATTTTCAGTGTTTTCTGTATTTCCCTATTTTTCTTTGTTATATTTTATGTTTTCTGTATTCTGTTTTATTCTTCTCTTTTTCTTCACATTTATTGTATTTTCTGCAATTTCCTATTTTTCTTTTATTTTCTTTCTTTTTGTTGTATTTTATCACTTTTCTACAAAATAATCTCATAAAATGATATAATTGCAGTTTGCAGATGTTTGAACATGCACGACTACATGAGAGCCACATGAGAATCTTTTCTGAAGTTCAGGGTGGGTCTTTCTCACAAATGGAAGTTCAGGGGCTCTTTGTCACGTGTCCAGATCACCTGGAAACAAAACAAGTTCCAACCCTCTACCAACATGATCTCACACCGCACATCTCATACATGGCGGGTCCCACTTTTATGGTGGATCCCAGTCTCATGGTGAGATGTGTGGTGTTAAATGAAGTTGGTAGAGGGTTGAACGTGTTTTGTTGGCAGAATATCTCAACTCAAGTGTCACTATTTTTGAAGACTTTGGAAAGAGAATTCCACAGCACAAGGTGAGGCAGTTAAGCATAAACCAAAATAAAAATAAAATAAAGAAGATGTGAGATTTCTTCATATTAAGATGGCCTTGGCATAAATCAATTTCTGGAATGTATGGGACCCAGTGGAGGTGACTGAGATTCAGTTTGGTGAGGTAGCAAAAATCTTAGAATCCCAAAGCCTCTAAGAAGAGGAGGTGCATGAAGGATAATCTGGTAGAGGTTGATGGAAGCTCTAACCTCTAATTCATAGAGATGGAGTAGGATTGGTGCCTCTCTTTGAGATTGAAAAAACTCTAAATAGAGCCATATAGATACAGGAGTTCCATCACCTATCAGTCCAAGAAGAGAAGACCCTCCACAATTGGTTCTTAGAAGATTTCAGCCAAGTTGTGTGTTTGGTTTCAAGAAGGAGAATAATACAAGGAGAAGAAACACAGAGGGTTGCTGCCTACAGAAGAACCATGGATGCTGCTTTTGTTTCCTATGCTCAAGGTAAGTAGCAGTAGGAACAGTTTTAAAATCTATGGGAAAAATAGTGGCTATATTAGAGAAGAAATCCATAGAACACTTGCAATCTCTTTGAAACCATAATTTCAAACAGCACTTTGCTCAGTTCCACATGAAATGTTTCTCCATCTTTTTCCCTGTTTATTTATTTATTTTGTTGGAGGGGGAAGGAAGAAAAGATGGAAGACCTTGGGGGAAAAAGTTCCCCATATAATATACAGTCTATTATACACCATACAGTGAACCAGTTAAACAGGAGCTAAAACAAAATAGAATAAAAGATATAGTGTTGAAACTTCTACGTATTGCAAGACAATCATACCATACTTACAGTTGTAAAGATGCTGCAGAGTGGAAGTATACAATAGTATAAGGCTTCTGTATCAAGGGCTCAAACTCCTGAAATTTTAATAATTAAAACAGCAGTTCAGTCTCACAAAAACATTTGAGTAAATGGTAAGATTGATAAATAACTATCTCTGTTCAGCTGCCTGTGTAAATCATACATTTCCTATTAAAAATACTATCGAGAACTCCTTGAATGGTAACTGTTAACGCTGTTATTTTTTCCTATGTATAGTACCACAGGGGTACTATTGTACTTTTGCTCCTTTTTTATTTTAGTTGCTGTCACCCTAGTATATATATTAAAAAGCTGTGCCGCCAACAGTATCTTTGAGCTCTCAGTTCTCTCTTCTTTCATTCTTCTCTCCTGCATAACATGGTATCAGAGCAGGACTACCAGATCTGAAAGGAGAAGTCGAGCGAACAGTCCTTTTTTCTTCTTCACACCAGATTTCCAGATCTGCCGCCCTCATCTGCTGTTCGGCTGATTGAAGATCTCACACATTGAAGTAACCTTTCTCTCTCTCTCTTACCTTTTTTTCTGGTCGTGTGCCAGGGCAGAACCTGTACTAGGTCTGCCGATTGGATGTGAGATGATCGGCACCTCTTTCTTTCCTTTATTGTGGGGTCGACTGATCCCTGAGA